GGGACCGCTCCGCAGCTGCGCCCTGATGGACGCACAAAGCTGCACATGATGGACGCACAAAGCTGCACATGATGGACAATGTCAATACACGGCTGTGGTCCTGCCAGGGTTTCTCAAGATGTTACAAACGGGTAAGAGATCCAAGGGATGTCTCAGTATTATGTCTCACGAGGGTCTCTGAATCTAAATTTATCTAAAATATGTTTAATTAAAAATAAAGCACAAGCACTGTCCCTACTGGACCAACCCAGTAATACTCCCAGTTTTAAAGTTTCTGGGGTCTGGCTTCCCCCTAGTATTTGTAAGGGCCTCTTCCCACACTTCGAGGCGCTCTACCTGGGGTTTGCAGGTATTTGGGGGGATACATTATAATGTGCGCCATTCGCCCCAGAATGCATTTCCTCAGAATTTACCTAGTTTGCTGCTCCCTCCTTTGTTTTTTTTTGTTTGTTTGTTTGTTTTTGTTTTTTTTTTTCGTTTTACGTACCTTATGTTCAACCGAAACATCAAACCCAACTCCTTTCTCTAAATGGCCTAAAGTGCTCACACACTCGAAATGGCTACATGTAACAGACCTGGGCCAACCAGTTAGAATAACATAAGGGATTTGCATCCCAGAAAACACACACCTTAATATTACGTACTACACACTCAGAATTTAAACTTTTTGGTGAATTCTGCCACTGTGGCACGGGTTGCATCTCTTCCTCAGGACTGTGGACTCTGCCTGCTCCCCCTAAATTCAAATGCCTCTGTGTCCCTGTCCCCCCTTCCTTTCTCTCCTCCCAAGATTGGCTGGGTACAAACAGAAGGCTTTGCAAAACAATGTGTAACACGTATAGTTAAAAGTAACGACAGTTATAAGAGAAACGACAGGGCCTGGGATTTTCAGGAAGTGGAGGTGAGGGTGACGCCCTGACGGGAATCCAGGGCACAGCGCTTACAGGCAGCTGCGCGGACGTCCTATGTTCCCTCAATCAATAGAGACGTGGGGACACCTTTATAAAGTGTGCACGTGGGCATACACTCCAGAGATTAACTGAGAGACTCGGTTTATCTATTTGAACAAATGTTGGCTAAATTGCATTTTTTTCCTCCAGAACTATCAATAATTTTCCTTTTTCAGATTGAATACATAAATCAAAAGAACATATTTCATGAACACTATGATTATGAACCTCCTATTCTTCACCTATCGATTTCTAAAACTTTATTTACCCAAGTATTTTTTTCCTTCACTGTATCGCTTTAGAACTGCTCTTTTTTATGTTATTGTAGCTAGAATCATCTGTGGCTCTAGAATTTTGGGGTATCGAGGAGCCCTCAAAAATAGCATAGAAAATGCAAACAACCTCATTGCTAAGCCTTTTCTTGCTCCCACAGTTGCAGGATTTCATTAACTTCTAATTACAGTAATTGTTTTACTATAATGGCAGCATAATTACTATAGGGTTACTATACTAATGATTCTTGGTGCTCTTTTTCCTATGAAATGTGTGGATCTGCTTACGGGATAACTGTATTTTCATGGGAAACTCTGAGGTTTTACTTTTAAATAATATGCAATTGAGCATAATATACTTCTAAGCTATTGTTTCTACCAATCCATAAGAAACTTCTCAAGCAAAATCTCTTCCATATTCCAAACCATTTTTAAAAAGGAAACCAAGAGAGATCTCTTTAATAACTATAGCATGTGCTGATTCAATATAAAAACTAAGCTTAAAAAAAATCTGCTAATACTGTCACTGTTCCCTGCTTGATAATAAAAAGACTGAATTGATTTTTTCCAGTTTTAGGACCAAAAAAAGGCAACATAACGAATTTCAGCTTGATATAATTTGAAATAGCCAATATATTAAACCCGAAAGTGAAATTTAAATTGGCAATTGTGTCAGATTCAAGTCCCTGAATGAATATTAATTTAAAACTAATCATATTCCAACAGGTTAAAGCTTCAAAATGCTAGTTCTTGAATAAAAGCTTTTAGATCCATTACTATGACACTGGACTTTTTTGTGTAGGAAATCAGGTTTCCAATGTTCAGCATGCCTGGCTCTTCCCGGCACCTACTTTTTGCCCAAGGATTTTAATTATTTAAGTATCTTTTTTTCCAAATTCTGATTTTACTAAAGAAGCCTGATATTGAGTGAACTGTCTGAGGTAAGGTAAAAGGTCACATCTGTCCATTAATTTTATGTCACCATGTCCTGTAAGTTAAATTCTGGTGTCTGAGCCAACTTCTTGAGCAAAGACATATGTTTTGTTCTTTACACACATACACGGCATATAAATTAATTGATTTGTAGCCGTATTGGAGGATAAGTAAAAACATGCATATACATTAATTACAGACTCGCAAATCAAAATTTGACTACATAAGACTATCAATTATGTACTCTATCCTACACCTAGCAATAATGAAAGTCCCTAATCCCAAAATCAAACAGAATTTGGACATGCTACATAATAATGCAACAGTAAGTGACATTTTATATGAAAATATATCCTTTGCCCACTTGCAAGCTGCTTTTGCCCACAAAATCTGCCCCCAAAACATCTGTCAACCCCAGACAGCATGAGCAAGCAGAGAAAAGACAAGTCTGGTGTCAGCCCGGGAGCTCACTCTGTCCCTTGCGACCCAGACGACCTTGCACGACAGCGTTCCACACTGTGATGAACTGTGCCTCACTTCACAGTCCACTCGCTCTGTTACACAGAATTCCAGGAGGCCTCTCTGTGTTCGTCCAGGCCAATCCTCTTACGACGTAAGCACAGAAACTGAGTCAAGTGCAGCTGTTAAGACTACCCAGCATCCGAACCCAAATCAGATTCCCCTATTCGGAATCTCTTGCCCTTCCCTCTACTTTTTATAAAAGCTTGTCAGGAATGAGCACATTCCCTGTTAAACCTCTATCAAATGATTGCTATAAATTTCATAATATCTTACAAGTATTCAGACAGGTGTCCACTAAAGGAACCCTATGCCAATCTCCAATTTAGAGAAAATAATCACTCTCCCATTTTTATTTGAATGAAGCCAGATTTTCATAATGCTGGGTGCCCCTGAATCTATCAATAAATGCCAGATGAATAAATGACTCCTCTGCATGGTTTTTCTAATGTTTCTGATTGTTTAGTTCTGTAGTTTTAACATGAAATATAGAATACAGGGTAGGGGAGGGGGACCTAGGGGAAATTAATAAATAAAAGAAGTGTACAAATTGGAAAGGACAAGTTTTCTCTTGATAGTCAAACAGTTACGAAATAAAGCAGTCTCATCAAATCATAGGGACTTTAACCTTTTCTCGAAAGAAGGGTAAGATTTAAAGATTCATAAAGAAATTTTGCCTCAATGAGGAAAGGACTCAGAAGTGACAGGTATTGAAAAGATAGCGCTGATTCCAACAGGCACTCTAAGAGCGTTTCCCTCCCAGGAGGGTGATCCAGTTGCGGGCACCTCTTCACACTGGGTTCTCAGTGTTCTCCCCGAAGCGCTTGATGCACCGCCGCCAACACAAGACGCAGGTTCCCAGGGAAGGCCACGCAGGGGCAACTCGAAGGAGCTGCTCTTACCGTGGCTGCTCCCAAAACAGGAAATCATGGTGATCTGACATCTTCTGCAGATGCCCTTTCTTTGGCAGTTTCTATTTGCACATTTTTAACGTTATAACCCAATCCCGTTGCACTAGTCTACGGCTAGAACGGACAATTTTGAGAGAGGACAAATTAGGCCCCTATCTGCTAACTATGGCACAAACGAGACGTGAGCTCTGACCAACCGAACCCGTCTCTTCTATCGTCACGGCCTGGTATCAGACATGACCAGCCCTTTTATAGGTTCTTTCAATGTTGGTGGCATAGAAATATTGCTCCCTGCCAGGTGCATTTGCTAAACTCATATCCTAACGAAAAGCTGAGTGGATAAGGCATAAAATGCTGATTGCATATCACTTTGCCAATGCCGTCCCACAGAAATCGATCACGGTTACCTCTCTGCATTTCTATTTTACATGTTCTTCCCAAGGCTTTTCATGCACTGCTATGCAAATATATAGCACAATTTCAGTTACAATCAGGCACAACAAAGATACGTACAAAGTGTATTTAAATCATCAAGAACAATTTCCATGCTGAAATAGGCTCTAAAACCCAAGCCACAATCCTCGAGAGCCTCCAAGGAAGTCCACTTCCTTGGTGAGAAAGCAAAGGTTATTTTCCTAACATGAATGTGGATACAAATGTCGCCTGGTGCAAATGGGGTTCACAAGGGTGGCTGTCTGGATGTCTCCATGAGATCACAGACTGAGAACTGCAGGCAGTACCTCTGGTAGGAAAGGCAAGGGTGAGTCTGGCTGCACTGGGCCATTTCAGTGCCCTAAAGACACAAAAGGATAAACCGTGCCTATTCCCGGGAACCGTAAAATAACAGACATCTCAGTTATCTCCGCCTTCAGCAGCTCCTAAGGTTCATGCAAACCGTGGGTGACAACCGAAGCAATAATATAACACCTCTTGAGTGTCTGAGGTGTAAAGTTCATTAGTTCTAAGGTCGGCACTTTAATGCAACAGCCAAACTGCATGCACATCATCACATGCTACCTGCCAAAGGCGGCTGTAAAAACCAGGCAGGGCTTTCACATGGCCGTGACTAGTGACGTTACTTCTGGACACCAGGACAGCCCTCACGCATTTCTGAACAAAACAAAACATACCAACCAAATGCCACAAACATTTCAAGCGGATATTATTACCCCAGGTCGCACTGTCCTGAGCTTTGGTGGGATTTTTCACAGCAGTTTTGAGGGGGACAGTGCTGGTATATCATGAGGTGTATCATTAGGTCTTTTAAATCTTGATTTTTGAGGTGCGTCACTTACACATGCTTAAAATCTAAAAGACCCCGCTTCAGATCTTGTGGGAAAATGCCATTTAAAGATAAGAAAGGAAGACAGATTCTTATGTTTAACCAAATGTTAAATATTTTTTATTTTACTCACCTGCACACTAAGATGAATCCATTTCTTCACAAGAATTCTCCCCAGTGTCATTACTTTTATTGGAGGCTGCAAACCATGGACTGTGCGATAATAAAACATGGTCTCTTCCTCTGATACTGTGAGTTTGAACACAATCTGCCCATCCACCGTCTTTTCTATAATGCACCTTAGGAAGCAAGCAGAAAAGACAAAAAAGGTCAGCATCGAACCCAAAGATACGCTAAGACATCTTCCACTTGCGGAGGTGTAACTGATCCCAAACTCCGCTCCAAAAGCTGCACCATGCACAAATACGCGAATATCGCCGTGATCAGAGCAAGCTTTATTCCAATTAAAAAGCCCTTTTGATTTCAATAGAAAACAGAATTCTTATTTATAACATATTCCTCAGAACCTCAACACCCTTTATTAGACATTCATGGTGCAAACTAAAGTGGTTGAATCATCCTGCAAAACTAACATTTAGCTGATTGGCTCATCAGTTCCTCTGCTATTTCCTTTATAGGAAGTGGCACAATATATATCCTGGGTATTGAATTACCAGCGCAAATCTTACATTTTTTTTTTTCACATAAAGAGAATTTAGTGCCCAGAGAGGGCTCGGAATTGCTCTGTTTAATTCCCACAGTGAATGGAGAACACTATAGTCTTTACCTCCTTGCCCATCCCTGACCGGAAGCCAAGGCTGGGGTCTGCAAGGTGACTGGCTGCTGACCCTGACCGCACAGGCCAGCAGAGGCACTGTGACGACGTTAATGATCTTGGATGAATGATGCAAGGCCAGTTATCAAATTATCTTTTAAAATCACTTCTATCCTAATCACAGTGATATTCTTTTCCCACCCCTTTAAATAGGCTTGTGACATTTTTATTTTTTTATCATCTTAGTTTAAGTTCAATATAAATTTTATGTTAATTATATCATTGTATATTTCTAACCATTCTGTGTCCACTGAGCAGAAACAGATGTGAACTTAAGCCCCGTTCCCCTCAATCACATTTCAACCTAGCGACTCAACGTTTTAACAGAAGACAGATATGAATGCTTGCTAGTAGCCTTCTAAGTGGGTTACTTGCAACGAGCTGCTGTTTAAAGAGAAATATCACTGACAGTAGCCATTAACATCCCGTCAAATGACTAGCTCTTAAAGGTGGCCTTCAGCCTGTGTCTCACAGACAAGAACTCACGACGGCGGCACCTCCCAGGAAGGAGACCCCGTCAGGTACTGAAAGAGTCTGGGTCCCCTCCTCCTTGCAGCTGCCTCCTGCTCCGCCCAGAAGTCTCCATGAGCATTCCGGACCCCGGGGCTCTCCATGCTCAAGACTTCTGATGGGGTCTTCCTTTGCGCTTCCTTAACACGCTGTGCTCTCTTGCTAATAACACCAACCTACCTGTCTTCCCATGAGATCAGGAGTTTTCTGAGAATAGAAGTATAACCGGGTGTGCAGCAGACCCTTGAAAAGTGAGTGACCAAATGGAGTAGGAAGCATTGAAGAGGCAAATGTAAGATTGGGCTGAGCAAGAATGATTGCTAAAGATGTTTTAAAACTTTTCCTAAATAGAATGTTTTTCACAAAGTATTCCTTTTATTACATGTATCCTTTCCCAGAGTTTAGAGATAAGAGTAAGTTTGGAGAACACTTAATAGTCACTACTTTACTGCCACTATTTTATTAGATTTTGTACCTATATTTGGTGATAAAGATGAGAGTAAGTATATATTTTGAGCAAATAGGTTTAGTTGACATACAGTTTTTATATAAAGTAGAAATAAAGCTTTAGAGAAACTCTACTATGATTTTTTTTTAACCCTTCAATAGGTGATTATCTTGAAGTCACTGGACTGAAAAGAGTTTCTATTCCCTGACTCCAGGTCTTAAAACAATCTAAGAAAAAAATGTGCCTCTAGTTGTTTTTCTTGAGTTTCAATTTACAATACAAGTTAGCATTTGACCATTACTCAAGAATGTATTTACCAAAGGCAGGCTTACTTCCCCAAGCTTAGTGAAAATGCATTTCTTAATATGTTATTGATTATCTTCTTTGCTATTTTGTTTGCTTGTAAACATCCTAGCTTTGGTAGATAATGAATGTGAGAGGAAGGCAGGTAGCAAAATATTTAGGAACTGGATTTATTCTGTTCCTGGATAAACAATAATTGGATAATCTGTGTTTTGTTTGTTTTACTTATCTAGTGCAAACACCCCGAAATTCCCCCAATTCCCGTAGGTATTTTAGTTTTGAGAATGGAAATGACCTTGAAGCAGAGAACTCTCAAAACTGTAAACTATGTGCTATGGCCTCTATAAATACTCCTCTGTCTTACTTACACAAAACGATAGCAAGGGAAGAAGAATTTGGTGGAGGCATAGTGTTTGGAAAAAAAAATATTTTGTCCTAGCCACATTTGTCAAGAGACACTTTTTTAAGACTGTACACTAGTTACATAAACTGAGTAGGCTGGATTTACTGACATTTCAAACAGTAAGGAAACAGGATATTCTTTTAGGAGTGACAGAGAAATTGAGATGGTGGTTTGAGATGATTTGCACTCCATGTTTTTTAAAAAATGAAAATATGCCAACTCTCACTTCGCACATTAAATCTGAACACCCAAGACATTTAAATCCTATTTGCTCATGAGATTATAAGACCTTCCTGGTTGGTTTCACAAGTTTTTTAGGTATTAGGCCAACACTCTCACACAATGGAAACGTCACCCCCGGAAGAGCCGACCGCCCTGCAGGAAGGCACAGGATGAGAGAACGTGCCTCCGAACCGTCCTACTTACTGTCAGTTCCAGACTGGCTCTAGACACTCAGGGAAAACGCAATATATATTAGTTGAAGAGACTACTACAGAATAATACACATGTGATTACATAAACTGATAAAAAAAAAAATACTAAGGAAGCCACACTCCAAAGTCACTTGAGGGCGTTTCTACTAACATCAGTAACATAAAGGCTTCTGAGACTCTTTCATGCTTCCCTACACTTTTCCTAAGAGATGACAGCTCCACAGGGTCAAGGGCCACAAGCGTGACCTGTTTCAGGGATGGAGCATTATTCATTACTGGGCACTTTCCATGACTCCAGCCAACATCTCTTCTTGGGAAAACACGGATGTCGGAAAGGACGTCCTAAGCCCTCAGAGAGTTACCTGCCTGATGAAACGTTTATCCGCTCCCAGGGGCAGGTTCTTTATATAAACTCCGACCAAAATTCTGGAAATGTCAATGACTCGTATTCCTACCCTCCACGTCCTGAGACTCACTGAGCCTGACGCAGCCTCCGAGGCCTAAGATCAGGACTGAGCTCAACAAACTCCTAGGAAGCATACGAGACAGGTACGGCCTGCGATGAAACCCGCTTCATGCAGTCTTTTTTGAGGATTCCCTTCATGATGGAAAAGAGAAAAAACAATCACATTTTGGGGGGAAATGTCTGGCATGTAAACTTGAGGAGGAAAGACGACCACCACGGGAGTCGGTCGCCCGCAGCGTGGATTCACAGGGCTGGCCTTCGTTTCCAGCCCGGAGTCCAGGCTGCACTCGTCTCCGCTACAAGTGATTTTTCAGGCCCCCGGGAAAGCTCCCCCTCGCCCTGCTACTTACATTACACCTTCCCGCTCGGGTTTCAACCACACGGCCAAAGTAAACGAAGCCGCCAGCCTTGCAGCAGGAGGAGAGGAAGAGCAGTTCGCGGGACTCCCGAAAACAAAGCTTGCGGAGTGCGCAGGCGCGCCGGGCCGCAGGTCGCGCGTGTCCGGGGCGACGCAGCCCGGCCGGCCCGCCGGGAGCAGCGCGGCGTAGGCGGGGGGCGGCCGACCCGTGCGGGCAGTGCTGGGCGCAGCGGCGCCGGGCGCAGACCTCCAGGCCGCCGGCGGCCGCGCCGCTGCGGCAGAAGGCGCTTCTGCCCGGGAGCCCGCACGTTGCGTCGGCGGGCACGACCGACACGGCCTTGAAAGCGGCCACGTTCTCCAGCCTCGGGAAAAGGCCCTGGGCGTCGGCCCACGGGATGGAGGCGAAATGGGGGAAGAGCAACGGTTCAAGGGTGTGAAGCAAGAAACCAAAGCTCAGGGAGAGGGCCAGGCGATGCATGTTTACAGAAAAGCATCCTCCTCCTGGCAAAGCGTTCCTAGGGGAGCGATCGGGCCCACGCGCCGGCCAGCCACACGCGGACGCCGGGCGCTCTCAGCGGCGCGCAGGTCTTCCGGGGTCGGGAAACCGCAGCCAGGTCTTCACACCGAGGTAGCACCGAGGGCGTCCCGGGCAACGGCGGCGACATGAGTGGCAGCTGGGGTCTGGGAATCAAAAGCAGGGTGTCAACTGAAAGCTGCTACATCATTAAAACTCAAGTTCTTCCTGAGAATGAGGACTTAGAGCCCTGGGCCAGAACCATTACCACTTCTTAAAAAAATAAAACACTGGGCAGGACGCTGTCTAGAGTAAAATGCTCATTCTTTTGGCAAATAACTTCACTTTGTTGAGCATATCAAGCACTTTAAAGTTCACAGGACAACCAGATCTATATGTACGCACACAGGAGTCTATTTTTATTAATGCATCTCACCACAGTAAATTCACAGGGTCGCTCTGCCCCAGAGAATTAGCACTATCTGCTCACGAGGTACAGAACATACTGCACAGGTTTTCTTTGCGCAGGCACCGTATGTTACAACGCCGAGCTAACTTGCCGATGCCCGAAATCGAGCCAGCAAAAGCACTGTGGGCCTTGCCCCCTTTTCCCAGCAGGCGCAGCAACTTTAAGCTCCCAGTAAAGCTGCTTAGGAACCCAACACCATCTGTCTGTCCTATGCCTTAGTATTTAGCAGACGTTTATGTTCGTGCTTCCTCGTATGGCTACGTATTTGTAGGTTAAATATGGACCCCTAATACAGTGTAAGTAATTGTACTGATAAATAAGCTGAGTTACCATTTCTTTATTGCATTTCAACCAGTTCCCTCAGTGTGACAAATGGCTCTTCACAGGGCCGCGGTCCCTCGTTGCCTGGCAACACTGCGGTGACCCCCGGTTACTTTTAGCAGATAGACTGCAACAGCATTAAGGCTGCAAGGAAGACTTGGCTGCCACAGTACGGGATTCTGCACGGCACACACTCCGTTACCTGAAACTCGGCGCAGTCCGCTTGGTGCCCCGCCTGGAACTGAGCTCCCTGAGCTTTCCGCAGGTGCCTCCAGCAGGGGGAGGGGCCTGAAGGGGCCAGGCGTGCATACTTTTAAAGTAGCAGTGCACCTCATCCTACAATCCCCTGGGCCCCTCCTCTCGCTGCTTTCGTGCACTTCAACCCATTGAATCTTGTCATCAAAACGATCCGCCACTATTAGTAACACCACCCATAATTCCTAGGGTCCTCTGTTCTGGGGTACAAACACATCAATCACCTGGAGGTTTGGTCCGTGAATGAAAGTTTCTTCTGACTATTTAGTTTCTGCATTCTTTAGTCCAGATACCCCTCTCCTAAATACACATGCTTCTCTAGATTAGGAGGAGCATCTGATAGCATCCTAACAGGTTCCACTTGGATGATCAGGGATTTTAATGATGCCACAGAAGCAACAGGACTGCCTTTTAGCTACCTGATTGGATAGAAACGTGTATTTACGAACACATGTTTGAGGTCAAGTCTATGTAGTTACTATTACATCCAAATTTTCCTATCATCTTGATCTCTCATATTAGATAGGAAATATTCTAAAGCAACTAATACTTCTCTCCATTTTTATCTTAAAAATAGAAAACTTGTTTGAGAAAAAAAATTAACCAACTGTGGTTTTGTTTTCTGCAAATTACATCCAGGGAGATGTTTGGAAATGACAGAGATGCCTGTATGGTGTTTCTTGTTAGAAGAGCAGCCAGAGGCAAACCCACAGTGACGGCTCCCAAGTCCTGTTTAAGTTCCTCTTCTGTGCGAGATCTGAAAACCACAACCCTTTTATTTACCAACTTAATCAATTAGAACAAGGTATTTCTAGAGGAAACCTTCATTTGCCAAAATATCCTGTTCTCTACTTGTCGATTATTACAATCTTGCAAGGGCAACTTTTAAATTAAAAATAAACTTTAATATAAAACCAGTTAACCTGTAATTAGAGACGACATGTGCAAATTCTGAGAATGTGGAAAAAAGTTTTGAAATAGGTATCTAGGACAGGAAGACTTAGATAAATGGATAATGCAAACCTGCTGTAAAACTTGCAACCAATGTTTGTCTTCAAACGAGTTATTCAATGGCAGGCGTCTCTTAAATCCAAGGGCTAACATTAATTTGTAATCGTGGTGTGTTAGTGTATCTTTGGGGTCTCCATTCGGGAGATAAGAACCCTCCCACCACATAACGGTCCCTGCCTCGTCACAGAAAGCCACGACTCAAAATAGACAAGCTAAGATTAGCGACTCCGCTCCACATTCAGACACCGCGCCTGTAACTGGCAGAGGCAGACGACGGACTGGCAGATCCCTCAGCATTCTCCGCTTGCTGCGGTCCCACCCGGGGACGCTTCTGGTACCTGGACTGGGCACCAACACTCCCACCACCCCCTCTTGGTGCCTGCAAAATAAGTACAGGGGACAAAAGTAAAAGTGTACAGGAGGGAATTCTAGGTAAGCCTGTGAGTGGCCTCGTGCTAGTATTTGTTTATCTTTCTGTATCTCGAGGATTAACTGGATAGCTCTTCAGGTCTAGGGCAGCTTGGCTTGGCTGGGGCTGGACACTCTGATGTGGCCTCATTCTCTCGTCTTACAGTCGGCTTGATGGTCATGGGGATCCAGTTTGGGAGCAGAAAAACACCCAGTGACATACGATGGGAGGCCCTGAGGTGCAAATACTTTCCAGGCCTCTCACTGCATCGCATTTGCAAATGTCCTATTGGCCCCAGAAAGTCACATGGCCAAGCCCAGACTCAAGGGCTGTGAAATAAATTCCGATCTTCAGAGAAGGAAAGAAAAAGCCACATGGCAAAGGGCACACCTGCAGAATGAAAAGAATCGGCAGCCATTTTGCATTCTACCACAGAGAGAGTTGCTGGCAATTTATATTTCTAGTTGTAAAGCCATCATGCCACATTAAATCAGAATATCCCTGTTTTGCAAGTGTCAAGAAAACGATGTTTTCTTTAGACACCTATGAGCAAATTTATACTGTTTATCCTGGAAAAGCTGGGTACAATAAGCTTCGTTTATCAAGCACTTGATGCCTAGCTCTTTTTAACGGACAAAAATCGAGAGGTTTCCCCTATTCTTGAGTTTTCAGTATTCAATGACTTACTATTAAAATTGACTAACCTCTGGTCTAACTGATGAAGAAAAAAAAAAAACAGTGGACATATAATTAGTATCAGATATAAAAATAGAGGCATAAACCACAGGTATAATGTGATTACAAATGTAAGAAAGTATTACAGACAATTTTATGAGGAGTAAACTTGTGTTCTGAGGCAAACTGGACAAATTCCTAAAAATATTTCAAACCTAAGCTGACTCAAGAAGAAAGAGAGCTAGAAACAACCCAAATGTCCAACAACTGTAGAATACAAAATAAAGGCTGCAGTATGTTTGTACAATGAAATGAAATAACACAATACGAAAAATGAACTAATGCTAAAAGCAACAACATAGATAAATCTCCCAGACACGGTAGGGAGCAAAAAAGAGCTAGACACACCAAGACTATACTGTATGGTTCTATTTATACAAAATGCGAACAGTCAAAGCTAAGCTATAGAGATGCCAATCCAAGAGTGTTTTTTTCTTTAAAAAAGAGAATCAATGGGTATGGGCTCTGGGAAGTCTGAGAGAGTGCTAGAATTTCTGTATCTTGTTACGCATGGTACTTACACACGTGGATACATTTGGAAAAAATTCATCAAGCTGTATGCTTAAGATGTGTGCACTCTGTGCGAATTACACCTCAATAAAAATAGTTAATATCTGTAAAAAAAAAAGTATCTAAAAATGTAAATTAGTCTATTTACTAAATAATCTGCAATTACATTTCTGCTCACAAAGAAAACGGCCCAGAGAGCGCTGCAGGTCAGTTACACCCGACACCTGGAGAACTGTAATTCCAGTTTTTACAAACACTCTTGCAGATGGTGTGAGAGAATACTTACCTGCTTATTTTATGAGGCTAGTATTACAGAAGAAAATGTGCAAAACTTGATGGGTAATTTACAAAAGCAACCAACATGATAAATAATAATGATAATTAACCCTTTTCCTAATATAGACACCTATTATCACTGCTTCTATTCAACAATTTACAAGCTAGTGAATTAAAATAAGGAACACTACTGTTAGAATTTAACCTTTCTCTACAAACATGTATGTATATCCTACATGAAACAGATTCATCATTCTATAAACAGGATAGCAGAATGCTTCCTATTTTCAAAAAATTCTTCCATATCCTTTTGCAATTTTCTAAACCAATGCAATCTCTTGTGATGCTTACAATTCACAGAGTAAATTGAATCTTTTTTTTGTGTGTGTGTGTGAACAAACAGCAATAATTCTCAATCTGGTTTCTGCCTTAGGAAGGCTGCTAATACAACAAGGTACCTAAGAATAGATCTAAGTAGTGTGCGAGTAAAGGTGACGCGTGTCACTTGCGGGGGAAGGAGACAGTGCTGGCATGTTCGTCCCCACGCACACTGAGATGGACCGCCCACCACCCACATTCCCCCATGACCACAACACCTAGACCACCCAGGGTACCTGCCATGAACAGACAACACACGGGACACACAGCAAGGGCAAGACACAAAGCCATGGGGTCTGCAGCCAGGGAGGGTTCAGGGTCGCCTGCAAAGGCAGGCGGGTGGCCCTATGTGATGGTGCACAGCCCCACCTGCACTGGGGCGGCTGCTGGTCACCCTCTCAAAGGCACCTGGGAGCGCGACTGGAGCCCTGAGTGGACAACGAAGGGCCTCCTCCGCAGCCCAGCAGCGTGCCGCCTCGGTCGGCTCAGTCAGCAGCTAGAATTCCTTCAGCAAGGTCGGACGGCTGGCTGACAAAACGGATTATGAAAACATCAAGAACAACAAAAGTAGCCATCATCTTGTCAGATGGGGGTTGGGAA